AGGAAGTGAAAATAGCGCATGTGATCTGCATTCTGAGTGAGATGAGGGACATGCTGCAGCCTGACTTCAACAAACATTTCCAGGAAATGGTACGTAGCAGCAGCTTGGATCAATGGCAGGAGTTACCATGGCTGATGCAGAACAAGGGTCTCGTGGCAGTGAGAAACTTGGGGCTCTCCTGCTTTTTCTACAACAATCCACCTGTTAGATGACTGCTGATACAGGAGAGTAGACCTGGAAGAAAACTCCTGGGTATCACACTCAGTTTCTTGCTGTTGTTGATTAAAAACATCTGCGGCCCCTCAAACTGTTAATGGCCATGGTAAAACTCTTCCTGTCACCGTGGAAGACTTTTAAAGCATGCAGGGATTTGAACTGCAGTTCCTAGGAAGACACTTAAGCTTGACAGCAGACTGACTAAGGTGGGAAAGGTGGGGAGAAAAGAGGAACTCTGGAAGGTTCTGTCTTTCTTCACACTTGTATAAGGCAAGAAGATGTGATCTAGCAAGCCTGTTGCAAGGAGAGCCAATGACTGATGTTTTCTCTTTCAGAATTTGGAGACACGGGCTACCCTAGCCTTGGCTTCCCAGTTCACAGCTCTGGATTACATTACGGTAAGGAACAAACTGTGGTGCAGGCATGAAGGGGAGGCATCTAGTGAAACTGTAAAGGTGGGGTAGGTAGTTCTCTTAGCCTCCCCATACAAGTGGAAAGATACCAGCCAGCTGTGCTGCTCTGTGGGGAAAACATGCAAAATGGTGGGGCACGTGGATTGGCATGCTGCAGGTTGATTCCAAAATGAGGGAAGGATGCTCTCTTTTGCAAAGCCATGGGCTCTGGTGGGCAGAGGCAGTCATCATCAAACTTTGGCCTCGTGAACCAAGAGGGCCTGATCAGACAGTAATCTCTCTGCTTGCAGGCAAACCGACAGAGAACTCGCAGCATGAGGTTTTTGCGAGAGATCTTCACCACCGTGAACTGCATCGTTACGCCAGGTATTATTGGCAGCCTTGTCCAAAGAGCTGCTCCCTGCCCGTTGTGGTGTGTTTTGAGAACAGCTGCTCCGTTAACTCTTCCTCCCCAGTTTTAAGAGCGTGATTTTTGTGCAGAGACTTGACTCTGCCTCAGGCCTCCAGAAGAACACGGGGCCTGGTTGGAATGACTGCTGTGCGTTTCTGTTCTTGCTGCCTGTATCCAAGGCAGTCAGAAAACTCCCTTTTGGTAGTTGAAATATGAGGTGCAGAACCAGCAGAGTTGCACAGGAGGGTCTAGACATCTACTTGTGTATGAAGAAATAGAAAACTGACTGCTCAGTTCATAAATCCCAACAACTTCATTGTGTTCTGGGGGAGGGAGTTTGCATTACTAATCTAGATTGAACATGGCATTAAGGAACTGAGCTGCTCCTTGGAGATTGCCCACAGCCTGACTCTTCCTTTGCAATTTGAGCACTGGATCAGGTTGCCTAGAATGGCTGTGGAATCTCCACCCTCAGATGTGATCCTGGGCAGCTTTCTCTAGCTGAGCTGGATTTGGGCAGGATGCCTTCCAGAGATCCAACCTCAACCATTCTGATTCCTCCACAGCTGTTGCTTCCACTGCTCCGAGAATCCACGAATCTGACCTCCTGACGGGCAGCAACGACACTTCATTCATAGTTCAGTCCATGAGGTAAGAAGAGTTGTTGTTTGCACTGTGACAACGGAAATCTATGAACAGATGGGCACTAAGTGCACTAACTCTCAGAGGTCAGGCTGTAGAGCAGGATGGATCAATTCTCTCCGCTCCCCCTGCAAAGGGCAACTTTGCTGCTGCCCCAAGGCAGGAATATTGATGACAGCTTCTCTCCCAGGTTCATGCAGCTTGCTAACTTGACTGGGATTCCAGGCCTTGTGGTCCCCGTTGGATATTCTACTGCTGGGCTTCCTATCAGCCTCCAGGTAAGCATTGGCTCTTTGTGAATGCTGGGTCACAAAATCCCCAGGTGGCTCTGCCCTGAGCCACTACAACCAGGTTCATCCTGTTCCACACAGCACAACTGAGGAGCTGCCAGGTACTAGGGAGGAGTTTTTAACTTCTGGGTGAGGAAGTTAAAAGTAACTCACTTCTGAATGCCAGATGATGGATTCTTCAGGGTTGTGGACAAAGATTTCTCTTTTTCCCTGTCCACTGGCATCTGTACCCATTATTTATCACTACTTTCCTCTCTTTTCCTCTCAGTTCTGCAATTAAAATCCTTTCTTGCTCTTCTTTTAAAATGGGTCCCGTGTAAAAGAAAGTTCTTAATCTTAATCAAGTCACTGAGCTGCCTTTTTCCCAAATGCAGTGATTCCCTATTTGCTGAGCTAAAAGTGAGAAACACATCCTTCTGGTGCTGTTGGGAAATAACTTTTAGCCATGTTTTCCTGGGCTTTCAATCACTGTGTGTGACGATGCTGCTCTTCTTTCTGTCTCTCTCATCTTCCAGGTCATGGGAAAATGGTGGGATGAAGCTGTTCTTCTGAGGATTGGCCTGAAGCTAGAGCAGTTTCGTAACCAGACCAAGAAACCATCCATTTATTATGACATCCTCGCATGATGGAGTGACCGAGATGGGGAATAAGTCTTTACCCCCCCCCAACCCCTTCCCACCCCTGTAGTTTTGACCTGGCCAAGTACTACGTGGACTTGTTTTCAGTGCTCATCTGAATGAGGTTTAGTGGCAGGCTCATCTGAGGAATGGGGAGAAGCACTGACTGGAGCAGGCACTGATGCTGAGTAGACATCAGTTCTGCTCCCAGTTCAGCACTGGATTGCCCAGTTCATACTGGGGAGACAAACTGTGCTCGCTAGTTCCTCACTGTGTTTTTGCCAACAGGGGAAGTTACAAATATCTTCTGCAACTTCTTTCCATGTCAGGGTCCTACGTAAAGATGGAAGACAGCTGCGGCTATGGCACTGTGTGTGAGCAGGTGACAGTGCTGTGTGGGGAAAGCCACAACCTCTGGGCCTCACAGAACGCCTCCTGCTCCAGGATATAACAAAAGCACTGTTTTAAGAAGGAGAGGCAGCTTCCCTTAAGAGCTAAGCTCCTTTGGAATAAGGAAGATCTTAACACAGCTGCAGTTAGGCAGAGTTGGGTAAGCCCCTTACTGAAGCTAGCCCCTTAGAGCAGAAAAGAAGGCACTGTGAACCTTTAGTGTAAGGTCAGCCTGTTCTGCAGAGCTCACTGCAATCCCACCTACCTTCAACCCTTAAGTGCAAGGGGAGGAAAAAGCAGAGCGTGAAAGCTCATTATCTCTGCCCTGAAGCCCTGGTTCAGGATTCTGGCATCCTCTTGCACCGCTGACAAACATGTCTGTTCCCCAAGCTACAACTTGGAGAGCCTTTTCTCTCCCACTGGTTACTTAAGCGGAAGCCTACTGCCATTCAGGTGTCCCACTGGAAAAAGCAACCCAGGAATGCTGTGAAACAGCTGAGAGGGTGAAATGTAAGTGGTACTAAGAGCAGAAGTGCTATTGAGCTACTCTAGGAGTAGCTCACTATTCAGTACTCAGGGGCATAGGAAAGGTGTTGCACAAAGCCACATGCAGCACAAAGCCTGCTCTAGGTAAGAAGCCAACTCATCCCAAACTGTACTTCCAGAAATAAGATAGAAAAAAGATGAGAATGTATGACATCACAGCAGGAAAAGCTGGAGAAGGCTCTACTTATTCGAGAGTTGACCCAAAAGCCACAGTAGTTTCAGAGAAAGTCCCAGGTACCCATGTCCTGCTTGCACCACCATGGCCACATCAAAGAGAAGACCGAGTAACTAAAGCTAAACATTTAGGTTAGTTTTGGAATACCTTTGGGTTAATACTCAGAGGCATCTCCTGTTGTCAACCTCATGAAGTATCAGAGAAGAAAAACGCCTATGTTTGTGATCAGGGTCTGGGAGCTCTTACAGACAGGAACAGAAAAGCAGTAGATTCTTAGCTTGGAAGGAAAGAAGGAACCAGAAAGTAGTTGCAGTTTCTCCCAACCTCATTACAGTTGTTTTTTTAGTTAACATACATATCCACTCTTTAAACAGAGCTAGCACTTTACTAATGGCTAAAGGGTCCAGTCAGATAACACCTGAGTGGAAGAATGTTGCATAACCTTAAATACTTGAGTCAAAGCAGCAAGATCAGCTGTTAGCAGCGTCCACAGTTAAATTAATGACATGGTTGATAATTTTATCTTCACTTCCTTTGTGATATTACCACAACTGTTATTAGAGCCTACTGTAGTTCAACTTTATGAAGAACGGTGTTTAAAAGAAAAATATTTCCTCTACTATTAATAACTTATTAAATGCTCTAAAAACCTGAGAGTGAAACACTGCTGAAATGCATCCTGTGGCAACAGGGGACTTGGTAAGTGTCTGACAAGAAGAAATTTCTTCCAGGAATATTGAAAGAAATGTTTGAATCTTCCCTAATTTAATGCAGTTACTCAAGGGCAAAGAGATAGTGGTAAAAAAAACATTAAATTATAATCCTGCTAAATTAAGCTATTTCAAATCCCTTTCTTTCTGACTGCTACACTACCTCAAAAATTAAAATTCCAAGATTTAGTTCATTTTCTGGGAGGAATGAGGAAGCTTAAGTTGCTAGGTAGCTAAAACAGGAGCTAAAGCAAAGGGTTTATTTAAAAATACAAACAAACAACAAAAAACCTGTATCCTGCTAGCTCTGGGAAGAAAAGGGAAGTGAAAGCTTTTGCTGACTGTCAATAATTTAGTCTGTTTTTCAGCACATTGCTTCTTCCCTTTCTCTAAATTGGTTTAACTGGTGCAAGTCTTCCCTGGTAGTGAGGTTTCTCGGTAAACTGCTCATACTGGTGAAAGGGCCCTGTTTCCTTCTTCCCCTAGCTCTTCACTTACTGAAGTTTTAGAGGAGACCAGTTCCTAATTAACAGCAGCTCTGTCCCCACAGTGTGCAATAGCAAGGCAATCGTGTGAGCAAAGCAGACACAGTGACCACACACACAAACAGTCCTGTTGCTTCACATAGATATATGTATGGGTATAGATATACGGTATATACACACTGATTTTTTTTTTATATATATATATATAAAATAACACCTTGTTTATAAAGCGACATTTAATTGCCACCAGTTCCCTTCCCACCCCACAAAAACAACAGTATACAAAATATAAAATATTTTAAATATTTATAAACGCCGCAAGAAAAAAATAGAACTGTACGAAAATATTTTTTTCTGAGGTTCCCTCCCCGCCCAGGGGCACGGGAAGGGGAAAGGGTACACGTTGGGCAGGCCTAGTGTGCCTTCAGTCCATAGTTGTTAAGTGGATAGGAATATGCCCTGCCTAATACTATCCGGTCCCGGAGGAGCTTAAATAAGACATAATAATTGCAGAAAAGGATGAGGGCCATGGAGAGGGTATGGTTCCACTTCTCGGAGCGCAGCAGTGAGTAGAGCTGGTAGCAGACCACACTGCCTTCGATGAGGATCAGCAGGTTGAGCAGCCGTAATGGACGGTGAAAAAGGAACTGCGGGGAAACAGGTAAAAAGCACATATTTGTGTAAGTTTTTTGCAACGTTAGTGGGGAGGGGTGTGTGTGTAATGCTGTATGGTGCCACTGAGTTAGACAGAAGGAATGTTTGTACCCCAAGCACCACTGGCTGCTACTTAGGGAAAGCAGCATAAGACATGAGGCATGTGAAGTGTCATTTTCCTTGAGAAGGGGAGGACTGGTGAAATAACCAGCCGAGATGCTTTCCCATTTCCCCAGAGGATGCTCTGTTAACTAGAACCTCTTAAAAACATGTTTATGTCTGATGAGAGAGCTGCATCACCACACTGAGAAAAGCACTGACGAGGCAGCCATTACTTCCCTTCTGATGCTGCAATGGGAAAACTTCTGCTGAGAACAGGCAACAGACAGCTGCCCGGCCTGAAACTCTGTTCTGCTGCAGCTAGGTTTAAGCCTCTCCTCCCTCCCACCACCACAATGCACCAAGAGAAGAGATACTTGCATAAAAGCGGGCATGGGACACGTCTGAAGGCACTGCTACATTGTAAGGCCCAACTGCTTTATACAGGCATCGGCTACGTCGCACCAGTACTCCTTGTGGCCATATTGTGTTCTCTGACCAGCTGCAGGGAAAAAGTGCCAGAGCGTTAGCATCAGAGGGACAGCAAGGAGGAGGAAATGCTCAACTCACTGAAGAGGGGTTCACAGGAAGGGCCAGCATCTTGAAAAATGCCCAAACTTCTGCTACAGGGATGTGTCCCAGCTTCCCTCGGAACAACACGGAGGTGAGGATATCACAAGCTCACCAGGACTCTGACTGAGCAGTGAAAAAATGGCTCCCCATGCAAGAACCTGGCCTACTACATTGGAGAGGGACACCTCTGCCTCTGATCTGCCTCTGATAAAGCTACTGCTCCAGTGGCCCAGAGGAATTATTACAGCAATTGTTTCTGGGAAGGAACCAGCACTTGACCAGGAGCTTGGACAGCTTTCTAGAGCAGGCATCTCTGTTTCTTGGGAACAGAAAGATCGGCAGAGCTGTGTCTGCAATCCCTGGCACTATGGGGAGTGGAAAAGCTTGCTAAGTAGATAAGTATCAGCAGTGCTGTATCTACTGGCATGTCTTAGCCCCTCCCTTCCCATCCCCACACTTACATGTGCTGTGGAGCGTTGCTGTAGGAGCCGTGTTCTAGTTTCTGCCACTTGCCGAGGTGGGCAGCCGATCTGTGGAGCAGGTCGCAATACTTGGGAGGCAGCAGCTGAGTGGTGAGCATGACGAAGGCGTTGATCCACACCATGATGAGGTGCTCACAAGACCACCGCATGTCGTAGTACTGGGTGCTCTGCAAAGAGAGCAGACGAGAACTTGGCACGCTGCTGTCACCAGGCAGAGGAGGGGATGACAAGGGGACATACTGCGTGTGCATCCAGCAGACCCACACCACACATTACAGGCATGCGCTTTTGGACCGGTGATTTCAGAGGGTTACAGCTTAGGAAATGCTCGAGGCTCCCTTCTCCTTGACCCGAAGGAGAAAGGGCGGGGGTATGACGCTGCAGCTTGGTGCCTCTCCTCCTCCGGCAGCAGGGAAGAGGAGGGGCTGCTTTCCACAGAGCTGCCTCAGGAGCACCAGGACTGCTACATGGATTGTGGAGCCCTACCCGGTTCGTTATACCAACTAGAGCTCATTTGCATTAGAAGATGACAAAAAAAAAAAAAAAAAATACAACCCCCACACTAACAAGGGGTTCTCAGATTTAGATTCCTAGTTGGCTGTTTTCTAACAGGCTAAACACCAAAGCCTCTGATCCAAGCGCTCGAAACCCAGGACGTTGGATCTGAGACAAGCAACAACGCGTGCCCTTTTCTAGGAAGACGACAGCTACTCATCTGCCTAGGACAGGGGGTGGGAGAAGGGGGGTTAGTAAGTGGGGTGATGGGACTGGAGGTGCATCACATTTATGGCAATACCTATCCGCCAACCAGGAGCAGTACTAGTGCACTCCGGATGCAGCCATGCTCCGCTATCCGGGCTGCCAAAGGGGAGACAGAGAAAAGGGGAATTAACCAGGAATCCGGCCTGGCAGCAATTCACACAACATTCAGAAGGAGGCGGCGGGCAGGGGCACGGAGAGAACCAGCCAAGAGCTACCTTGACAAAACACAGTGGCAGGAAGGCCACGTAGTAGGCACTGAAGAGAGAGTTGAAGAGAACTTCCTTGATCCTGCGGTTGAAGTCTGCTTTTAGGCACTCCACCTCATTGCGGATGAGATCTGGGGAAAGGGGGCAGCTGTGGGTAGGGATAGACGTAGGATTATTGAACTGTTCTCTCAAGGATTCCCACAGAAGCGAGAGGAAATCTTTGGGTTTGACCAGGCTGCTGACAGCTGAAGCCCCATCGTCCACCATCTGATCCTGTACCAAGTAACCACAGTCCGCAGGTAGGGGCTGTGCTCTGCTGTCCTGGTGGAAGCAGCACAGAGGAACGTAGACACCAAACCTGCAGGGAGAAAAAAGGAAGAAAGACAGGGATGAAATGACAGCCAACCCGACATGAAGCAGCGTCTTCCTTCTCCACAAATGTTGGCACTTATGAGAGGGACACTGTTTCCCCTTTATTCGTAAGATAAGGCGGCTTTTTTTGTCTGCCTGTGTCTTGGGGGCAGATTATAGCCAGCATCTCTGGTTCCCCCAAAAGCTCATGCCACCCCTAGGCAGCTATGCTCCCCCCTGCCCTACAAATAAGAGGTATTGTTACTCACGGGTAGCCCAGGAAGAGAAGATTGAGCACAGAGTGGCTGCGGAAGAGGTTGACCAGAGTCCAGCAGAGCACCCATCCACAGAGGGTGAGCAGCACCAGGCGCACCATGTAGTGAATCACTGACGTCGCACCCACCTGAGAGGCCTGCAAATAGAGGAGAAATGTTCAGCAACCACATGGCACGAGTGCTAGGACGTGAGCACACAGGGTGCCTGTGGAGGAGGAGCAGGAAGAAAGTGCCATGAAGCACTGGAAGAGGGATGACTGCTCTCTTCCTCCAAGAAGGGGAAGACTGACTCTCTCTTACAAAAGGTGAAACCGCTTGATGTCATATTTGGGAGAATCCACGAGATCCAATAAAAGCACAAGTTCCAGGGCATGGTTAAAACAGGGCCCTTTAAAAATCAGAGCTGTAAAGTAAAATATATTTTTACTCAGGTTCTTTAATGCTCTGATGGTATTCCAAGATATCCTGCAACACATTTTCTCCTGCTATTTCCTTTACAAAGATCAGATCTCGGCATTCATTTTCCTAAAGAACTGGTTATCACAATTCTCAGCTGAGGAAAGAGAAGATGGTGCACATTGGCAATCCTCAAACCAGGATTTCCACCATTCCCTCTTCTGCACGTACGGGCTACTGTCTAGTCAGGAGGCACCACCTTCAAAAGGACAGCAAGGAAGCTTGGTCCAGTCTTCAAAGGGGAGAAGGCAAACTGAACTATGGAAAGATTCTCAGTGATTATAGCCAATAGATGGGATGTGCAAGAACCCACGTGGAAGGTTTCAAAGCAGAAGTTTCAGTCTGTGGAAGGTTTTATGGAGTAAAAATGAAAATGGTAGGAATCAAAAATGAAAATGGCAGGAATCGGAGATGAATGAACTGGGAATCCATTTTCATTCACCTGTTCAACAGCACTTAAGTGTTAGGAATTTTTGTTCTTAAAACTTGTTGCTTAATCTGGAGTAGTATTAACTGTTTCAGTGGAGCTTCCCTTTTCCTCCAAAGAACTTTTCCCAAACATATCCTTGGTGTGGTTCTGTTCCCACAAAGATAGAGCGTGTCTCAAAATCTAAGCTCACACAGAGTTATGGGGTAACCAGGACAAGGAAAAGCAGTTCTAACAGCTATTTCTATTTCACTTTAGTATACGCACACATCCTCCTTCTGACATTTCCCCTCTAATCTCCTTGTTCACTTTTCTAGGCTTGGCTAACCTCCCTATTTGCCTTTCTCCTACCTGACTTGCAGGGATAGAGAAGCAAGCAGGATCATTTCATCTCCTAGCTGCAAAGAGGACAGAGCTACCCAATATTGAAGGGCATGAATGGGCTCAAAAAAAGACCCCATCCACCAAAATCTTAGTCTTTCACACCCAGACTTGTTCTGGAGGGAGAAACGCTCCAGCTACCCAACTCTCAGAACTTTCTAAAAGACTGTGGATGGTCACGCTCTGCAATCAGCCCTATGGGCAGGAGAGGGAACACTGAAAGGTTACCTCCGAGATGAGGGCCCACACCAGCCTCCGCGCCAGCATCACTGTGATGAACGCCGCCAGGTGGTAGTCAATGAGGTGGAAATTCTGAAGGAGGAAAGAGAAAAGGTCTTCACCAGGGGAACGGAGCCCAAAACCACCCAGCTGGGGTGGGACTGGAAAGCTGGCTGCTGAGAGCATTAGGATCACATTTCCCTAGATCTCTCTATCAGGGGTGAGAGAGAAGGGAGAAAACTGAGTAACACAGAAACATCTCCACAATCAAGGTCTTCCCCACATGTTGTAGGTCACTTCCCATGGAGGAATTTCTACTAAAAAAATAAAAAATAACGGGAAAAAAAAAAGCCACCCTTCAAGGCAGGTATTTCTGGGGTCAAAGAGCACTCTAGGACCAGGATCAAACTGTGGAGAACAATCTCCAGGTTCTCAAGGGAAAAGTCACCAGCCACAAAAAGGCAACCAAACCTAAGTCTGGAGTGCTGCATACCAGCTCACTTTAGCCTCTGGTCTCAGAAACAGGCTGTAGTGACCACCAGTGCTTCTTGATAATCAAGTTGATGGGGGAAATGCTGTCTTCACAGGCCATAGATCTGTACTGGAAGTTATTGTTGGCTCTGACTGCATGAAGTTAGATACAGCTCCTGGAACCCTTAATTTCTTTTTTTCAGTGAAGCTGTGTTCTAGCTAGAACGGTCAACAGAGTGAATACTGTCTGGAACCTGAGGGATATTTTGGGTATACGAGAATGTTCACCTTCTAGGAACAAGCCTAAGTCAATGATATGTTTTCAGGTAGGGAGTCTAAAACAGAAAGGTTTTTCTTCAAAGAAAGCTGTGCCCAGCCTTGGGTAGCTGCATTTGCAGCTAACAGCTGGATAACTAGAACACCAGCACCACCTGTTGGTATAGTTACCCAAGGAACTGCCTCATGCTTCAAGGACACCATATAGGTTTCAGAACATGCAGACAAGGTTTGCTGACTCGGGTACAGCTCACTGCCAGGTTGCACAGCTTATTGGGCCAGGAAGACTGCAGCTAAGGAGTCTGGATGGCCTATGTAAGGTGAGGATCTGACCCCTTCCCCAACTCTGCTGTTGACCTGTTGGGAGATACTCATGCAAACTTCCCTCATCCTTTCTCTTTAGCTCTGTTGTTTCCTCTGGTAGGAGGCACCCACAGCAGCACGCAGGCTCCTGTAGGTTCAGCTCCATTTCAAAACCTAGCAGCTAGCTTGGCCATGCAAGTGTCCGCAAGAAATTTCCACTGAAGAAGCCCTGCTGACACCTCTCTCTCTTTCTCTTACCTTCTACCTATTTTTTCCCCTATAAAATGAGGGATGACATGGGCCTGGTTGATCTGAGCATGTGCAAAGTCCCTTTCACGCCCTTCCATCAAAGGCTTGGTGACTCCTGAGCTGAAGAAGCATGAAAAGCAGCTGTGTAATGACAAAGCACAAGGGAAGGATGGCGTTTGCTGGGGAACTCACCAGGGAGGTGCAGGACGCAGGGTGATTGTACGGGTACCACCAGACAGTCTTGTAGATGTTGATGTACTGAATGAAGAGGGCTACCAGCAGGTAGATGAAGAACAGGAATTCAAAGAGCAGGCTCCCGTCTAAAGGCAGCTCAGGGATCCGGCAGTGACGTACAGGCTCTGGAGTAATCAGCGCTGTGATCGGAGGTGCGGAGAGGCTGATGGCACTACCATTCCTAGAGCAGACAGACACCACTCACTCGGTAAACATTCTACATGGTCTCCACTGTTTTCCGGGACAGGGAGTGCTTAGGGTTGTGATTTTGGGACTGGGCATTGCTGGAGTGCAGACGGTATCAGTCTTGCACTCATACTACTGGCGCAAGACTGGTGGTGAGCTTTGTCTTCCTCTTAACACAAACAAAACCCTTATCCAGTGTTTTCTGCACACAACTGATAGATCGGTCTACCAGAGGTGCCCAGCTCTATTTCAGGCAAGTTGCAGAGGGAAGACCAGAGGTACAATGAGGAAGAAAACTTCAAGCAAAACCATGAGATGCTGCAGCAGCATCCAGTTCACCCCAGGACAGAAGCACAGAGCCTCTTTCTCCAGTACTGCAAAGTGCCCATCACCTTTCTATGCACAGCTCCTCTCTTAAAGAGAGGTAACAAAAAACACAATGGAGGAGTTCAGCCACTGCCTTGAGGCTGACCTCTCAAGTGCCTTCACACTTCTGAACTATCCTTCAAAGGAGGCTAGGACAATTGAAAGCTCTTGCAGACTACACTGGTGGAGAAAAATAAAATGTAAACTATGCTGTCTGACTGAAACTGAGATAAGCAACACTCCCCTAGGACCTTACAGCACTTACGCCGTGGTCTCAACAGTCACCTCTTCCTCAAATATCTCAGACTGCCATCTATCCACATACTGAGGCCTGAGAAGTCCTAAATGCCAAAGCTAAATGGCTTCAATCTCTCTACTCTGCAAGAATGACCCTGTCTCACGTAGATCGGGGCCTCAATATGCAGCAAGTGGTTTCTCTAGCCTGCTGACTTCTGTAGGGGAGGAAATAACACTGGGCCCTTTAACCTTATGCTAAATGCAGAGCTATAAATGTCGCCGCGTGTTCCTTTTTCAAGCCCCAACTTCCCCAGCACATGGAGATTAGTTTTGTCAACCGTTTCATGTGGATGCAACAGTGCTAAAACAGAGTATAAGACATCCTCCTGCCCTTTCTTTCTATCATGCAGAGGAGGACTCACAGCTGAGCTCTGACATGTCACAGTTATTTCCTGTGGTATTGCAGGCAACCGAGTAATAGAGTAAACGAGTAAAAGGCTCGTAATCTGCTAGGATTCGCTGCTCTGCAAACTGCTGCAGGGAAAGACAAAAGAAGTTCTGTGCGACCGCAGCCTCACTTCCACGAGCTTCCCCATGGGGCAGATTTTAACCATTGAGCAGAGCTCAGAGGGGATAGACCCAGCTTTTAACATCACAGCCACGGGTGTCTCGACGATCCTACTTCTGTCCTCACCTGTTTCTCAAACCAGTACCGTTTCCACAGCTCCCACCGACCAGAGTCTGGAGAGAAGGCAAAGCTGAACGGCTTAGCTGCTGCCGGCTGGGTCCCCTCCTTCCACCGGGCATGACCAGGAACCAGTCCGCTTCCAGTGCCTCCAGCAGGCTGTGCCCCGTGACCCAGACAATCCTGACGCCTTCCCAGGTCTGCAAAGGAAGCAGAAACATCACTAAAGCTGCAAGCTACTGGTGACATGGTTCACACCCTGGCCAAATGAGTTCACGCAAAAGGAAGCCACACACAGAGGCAGGACCTTGTCGTAAAGCTGGGACGCCCCTCACCACTCCGAAGCACTCTGTCATTTCTACAGCACCAGATCGGTGCCTGCATGCTCAGAACAGGCTCCATTGACACCGTGTCGTAAAACAGTTTCTGCTTAAATCAACCACCTGTAGCAACTCCTGTTGGCTGGGAAGCTCTACTGAGCATCTCCAGGGCACACAGCAGCAAATATGGGAAGAACCCTCTCTCTGCTCTGCTCTAAGGAGCTGCTGGAGCTTTGCAGGTCGTTCTGACCACCCAAAGTATCATTTGATAGGGTGTGATGCTGGTAGGCAATATGGACCCTCTCTGCTGGAGCGCAAAACAGCCAGCATTAATAGGTCTCCACGAAGGCTTTGCAAAGCATTTAATTGCACGGTTCAGTTCCCTTTTGTGCTAAGAAAGCCTGACTGACATGATAGTAGGAGGGCCGTTTAAAAGCAGTTCCAGCTAGCAGTAGTGCAGCAAAACTCGTATGTATGTGTACACTTAAAATGCATGGATAGGCAACCACATATCCCAGCCTTTTTAAAATTCTTTAATTAGAAAGTAAGCCTGTAAATATTTGTTTATTTTAAATGAAGCACTTAAATCCATCAGTTCTTTAAAATGAACTGTATGAGAGAGACTGGGCAACTCAGAATATCAGTAGGATGGATTGTCTGGCAAAGACTTTACCAATTCCCATGTACTTTTGCATTTATTTCATCAATCTCACACATGGCACTACAGGGATTTCAGCAGTTACCTAAGTTTCTGATGGCTACCAGGCTGGTAAGGGACTGACAAGTTAAATTTGAGCACAAATCCTGGAAGTAATTCCTGGTGAGCATGCTGGACACACAGAATCAAGACAGAGAGGGCACCTCATAACAAGGACGTCATTGTGTCTGCATTTCTGGAGACTACTCAGGTGCCCTTTTGGCAAAACATCGTAGCCAGAGCCAACCCAGGATCTATTCCCACCTTCTGGGAAACTCTGGATCCAGCTTTGAAATGTACAGGTGGGACCCAACATCTGCTTAAAATTCAGTTATCACCTCCTTTAAAATCTTGAGAAATCATGGCAGGCAGAAATGCCAGAAAGCTTGCTGAATGAGTCATATCATTGTCACCATGAACACTGTGCAGAACTATCCAAAAGGAAAAAAAAAAAAAAACAATCCAAAAAAATCCCAACCCTCCCCAGAATTTTCTTTTGTTTTCAAGTTTCCCTGGCTTCATCTCTACTCCAACAGCCAATTCTCAAAGTCGCATCAAAAACCAGATAAGGTGTTACTAAAGATGAATGCTTTGCACATACCCACATGAAGGTCACTTGCAAAGAAAAAAAAGTAAAACAGAGATTTTGGAGAAAAAAAAATGGCATTGTGAAATTGCATGAAAGGAGAGGGTAAACACTGGACGGTTTGGGTTTGAAGGAAGATAAAATGTATTTTGCCAGGCTTTGAAACTCTCGTTGTAATTCCGAAAGAAGACACAACAGAGAACTGAGTACTACTTTACCTTTCTAGTCAATAATTTGAAGCTTACAGAGGACCTTCACTAGGATGTTACAGAGTTTTAAATTCAGGCACTAAATATAAACAGAAGAAAATTCTCCTGCATGCACAAGATGAGCAGGGGCAGCAAGAGACAATGAAGAACTCATTTAGGGCATCCAGATACTTTATGTAAGTGGCTAAGAAGAAGAAGAAAAAAAAAAAAAAGGAGCCACTTTCAAAGCCATATGAAGGCAAATTAAACTATTACAGGAACTGTGGAAGTTGAAACAATTGATCTAATCCAACCTACGGGATATTTATGATAACGGATGCAATAGCCCGAAGTCGGTGTTCGAACCAGAGGTATTAGAGTTAGCGGAAGGTATTTTATGCCACACTCAATGATTCACGTAAATAATTCAAGAGCTCTCATTCACACCATCCCCATTAGTATGCCTCACATGCTTACCAACGTAAACACTCGGACACCGAGGGATCAAACTCCCACCCGCTGGTTTGGCAAACCAGTAAAATGCTAGTTTCTACCAGCAAAAATGAGTGCCTGTAGGAAAGGGCCCTCCTTAATGTCAGTGCAGCGTATCCTAAATGCCCTTGAATACTTCCTTTTGCATTGATCCATTACCATATGGACTGGGCTAATGTCTGAGCGCAGTTACTAGAGCCACGCTTTAAAAGCTTGACTTTGCTAGGGTCTGATCAATTTAGGAGGGTGTCTGTTAGAGCAAAACCTGCCCAAGGAACCTTTATTTTTTCGTTTTTGTTTTGTAAAACTAGGCACACAAAACCAAAGCTCCCTAGACCAAGTTAAACAACGTGTTAAGATTAGAGATGAGTTTGCCTCAAAGCCTGCGTTTTTGGCTTTGAACCAATCCACAGCCCTCCTTTTCGAGGAGGGAAGACACAGGGAAAAGAAGTTTTTATAGTTCTCAATTATTAAATCAAGGCATGATTTGATTGTGAACTTTATGCATGAAGCGTCCATGACCTTTTACTCCATTAGATAAGATTCCTGCGTGCACTGAAGTCATTACAAGTTCTCATAAAGACCCACACACCTACAAGACTCCTTTCTCTGCTTGTAGGGTCCCCACCCCACAGCTACCCATCCGCACTCACTTTATACACAGTTTCAGGCACAGAGAGTGAGTGGCGGTAGATAAAAGCTTTTCCTGTCAAGACTCTTTAGTCCATCGATTCGATTCCGCATTGTTCTTCCCAGTTCACCTTAATTTCCCTTCGAATGATCTCATGTATTTGCAGTGCCTTCATCCTCAGCATCACCAGAACAGGAACTGCCCTGCTTCCGAGATCTCTCTAGGGCAGATATGGGCATCACAAAAAGGCACACGAAAGATTTGGGGGAAAATCTGGCAGAAGCTAGCAGGCCTGTCCACATAGGTGGAAAGAAAATGGGTATGGATGGCTTGGAGTCCTAGAGGGACTCCTCCCTTCAAGCCATACTAACGAAGAGCCAGGCAGATGAGTTATCCAGCAGTTCGGAGGTGAAAGAGCACGCAGCCCTCCCCGCTCCCCAGGGCCCATCACTTGGTCGCATTCCTCCATCAGCAGCTGTCTAAACAGTACTTCCAAGGGACAAACCAGAAGAGAGCCAGTGACTCATCAGAACGAAAAATCTGCCTCGCTCCCCGTCTCTCTGCTGGAAATGCTACGACACGTAGCCAGTTATTTCGATGGCGTTAATGCTTTTTAATTGGAGAGAACTCCCAGCCTCCAATCCTCTCGGGAAGCTTGCTGTACCGAGGCCTGAGAACTGTCAGAGCTTCAGAAAAAAAAAGAAAACAAAAAACACCACACTCAAGAAGCTTTCCTTGGCTCCAGAAGTCCTACAACCAGATGCTCTCATGAGCAGGAAGGGAAACGTGGCCACCCTCGCTCGAAGTGATGCAGCCTGAGACCACCACGGGTCTCTCGTTGCAACTCTCCACCTTGATCCGAGCGGCCTGCACCCTGCCTAAAGAAGCAGGTTACACCGTGGGGTGAGGCACCCCATTGCCCCTGTGGCTGTGAGGGAGGAAGGCTTTCAGCATCGCTGCTGGAGCTCCCTCCCTGTGACAAACGGCACCACTGGGAGCACCAACTTCTGCCTCGTTCCTCTTCAGAGGCGCCTGTCCTGAAAACGAAACCAAAGGACGGCCTGAACGAGCTGCAGGGCTCGCTTCTAGCCTACGAAGGCACAGGATCATTTAGGCTCCTGGCTCACCACGATCTGCTTGAAAGCCTTTGTCCCTGCACTGCTGCAGAGCAGCACGGCCAGTACTGTAAACTTTGGAGGCTACCGGTGGCCATAAGCCACCCACAGGTAACAACAACTCCCTGTGTCCCAGACAGTGGCTTATTTATAAAAGCTTGTCCACGAGGCTGCAGAGACAGTTGCTAGCCCCTGGTGAAACCATTTGTGAAAGGATGGGAGGAGGAAAAGGGGACAGGATTCTCTAAGCGCTAGGGCTGAATACATACCGTAACAATCATGACTCTTAGTTAGCAGACAAATAGCTCTTTCTCCTCTCCAGCCAGTCTCCAAAGCTGAAACAACACATATAAAAAGGTCTCTTGGGTTACAGAGATCCCCCTTCTTTAAGTAGCTGGGCCTGGTTAACCTAATCCCAAACTTGCATTCATCCAACAATCCTAATGCCTTCGCAAATTATTACTGAATTCACATTACATTCAAGTTTTCTTTGGAATTGCCACGAGTCCTAGTTATTATGGCTCAATTTTACATCTTCTTGGTGTGACAATTTTATTTCCTTCTAGTTTTTAAATAAAACCGTCGCGACAGATGGAAAAACTTAGAGCTGGCAGCCTATTCACCCAACGCACTGCAATCGATCAATAAATCAGTCAATAAATAAATAAAATTCAAGAACGGGAACGGTGATGCCCACGCTTCAATCAAGAGGCCACCTTGTCGGTGTGGCAGATGTGACGCGGCTGAAGTGGAGATGCTGCAAAACTTCTGTGGCAGCAACGGCCGGGTTCAGGCATGAAAAAGCAATTGGTTGTCGTGACGATTTCAGGAGGAAATAACCGATAAGTTATCAGATGGAAAGCCAAATATTTGGCTTGTGCCGAGGCCCCCCAGCGCTAGGCAAACAGAACCTTTCAACCGGGGCTGGCTGGGGAGGCACACACCTGCCAGCTGGCCCGGAGCAGGGAGGCCAAACCGGTTAGGAGCAAGGTCTCCCAAGTCAGCACATTTTCCGTGCCCTCACGCTGCAGCCAGCACCCAGGAGCAGCAGATTAAGGAGGAGACTCGGGACGGACGGACACAGAAAGCCCCTAAAGCAGAGGCAAGGGTCAGGCCCCGGAAGCAGTGAGCAGGGCTGTGAATCAGCGCCGTCAGGTGATGCAGGAGCGAG